TATATATATATATATATATATATATATATTACCCATATATATATATATATATATTATATTATACTTATAGCCAGAGACAAGCACATAATAATGCTTTGGAGATTTACTACTATTTGACAAAGGTGGATCGAAACAGTTTTGATAGATTATATTAGATTAGATTAATTAAATAATTGTTAGAATGGCTTGATTATAATGGATGAAAAAATGTAATCTAATTACTAGCAGACACACAGATACATCTGCTTAACTTAGGGATATATTTTACAGATATATATGCGCAATATCTTTATTGAATACACACACACACACGCACGCACACGCACACGCACACCCACACGCGCACGCCCACGCGCACGCGCACGCGCACACGCACACGCACACGCACACGCACACACGCACACACACACACACGCACACACCTTGGTGAGTTTGATGGTCTTCGGTTTGGGATGCTCAGCATCAGTACCGGAGATCAGCGTACGAAAGTAAACATCGAAGCATCGTCTGCCGTCGCCGTTGATTGTGCCGCCCACAGTCCAGACGAGTGAGAACAGGAAGAGACCTTGTAGCCAGACGGTGATCTATGAACGATGTACAGGTGAGGCACGATGACACATGCTGCCGCACAACGTACAGGCACAGTAAGAGACACAGCCAAACACAGAAAACACAGAAAACACAGTAAACACAGTAAAACACAGTAAAACACAGAAAACACAGTAAAACACAGAAAACACAGAAAACACAGTAAAACACAGAGAACACAGTAAAACGCAGAAAACACAGAGCAGTAAGGCAGAGTAATAAACACAGTAAGGCTGTGTCGCAGAAAGACATGTGAGAAGTTGTTACTTCAGGAATTGTTAAGAACCAACACATAGGTCTGTAAGTCTGTAATTACAAGTATATTACAGCATGATCGATGATGGACCCACAGGTAAATTACTGCCGGACGGAAGCATATAGAAAGAGGAAGGGGAAGGAGTAAGGGGGGAGAGGGTGGGGTTGATTCTCACGCGTTCCCAAAAACCAAAATTCCGTGGAACCAAAATTACATGTCTGTAAATAATGATTAGTATTTATGATATTACAGCACAGCAAAATTTTTATGAACCAAAACACGTTTGTACGTCTGGATGGAGGAAGAAGGGGAAGGAGGAAGAAGGGGAGAGGGTGGGGTTGATTCTCCCGTCACGTGCAACGCGGGCTTACCTGTGCAGCGGTGAGTTCTAGTTCTCCCTCCTCCCCCGTGCGACGAATCTCCTCCATGAGACAGCTGTAGAGCTTCATTAACGATGACACCTGATGCAGTGCGCTCACCTGTATCATCATCTTACACCTGTCAATGTAGAGCTTCATTAACGATGACACCTGATGCACCTGTACCATCATCTTACACCTGTCAATGTAGAGCTTCATTAACGATGACACCTGGTGCAGTGCGCTCACCTGTACCATCATCTTACACCTGTCAATGTAGAGCTTCATTAACGATGACACCTGGTGCACCTGTACCATCATCTTACACCTGTCAATGTAGAGCTTCATTAACGTTGACACCTGGTGCACCTGCACCATCATCTTACACCTGTCAATGTAGAGCGTCATTAACGATGACACCTGGTGCACCTGCACCATCATCTTACACCTGTCAATGTAGAGCGTCATTAACGATGACACCTGGTGCACCTGCACCATCATCTTACACCTGTCANTTATAGAACTATACATGATAGTACATGTACTACTAACGTAGAGACGTACACGTTGGGAGTTATAGAACTATGCATGATAGTACATGTACTACTAACGTAGAGACGTACACGTGGGAGTTATAGAACTATGCATGATAGTACATGTACTACTAACGTAGAGACGTACACGTGGGGGTTATAGAACTATGTATGATAGTACATGTCTTACTAACGTAGAGACGTACACGTGGGGGTTATAGAACTATGTATGATAGT